ACATGCTCACATACACAATAAACCTCCATTGCTAGTATAGTGTCTAAACGGATCAATATCTTTGATCAGAACAGAACTATACCAGCGTTTACACAAAAGTATAGTGCCCCAAAAATGCAGCATTAGTGGGATCAGCCCTGGCACCTGCCAGCACCTGCATTTAGCCCCTATGCTTAAATCCCCCCCTCCCAGCAAGTTCAGTTTCAGTAGATCACTGTCACTTGACACATTGCACACAAAACTGCAGAGTTAGCAGAATCAGGCCTAATCTCTGCTAGCACTTGCAGGTACATTTTTTTGTAGTGGTTCAAGCAGTCCCTGACAGCCAGGTGCTCTTTTTCCCATGAGCCACACTAGGTACCTATGAATGTAGTGGCAAAAATGTCCAACGAATGTTTGTGTAGTGAAGAGGCCAACAGAATTTTAACTTTGTCAGATGAGAGTGAAGGGGAAGCCACACTGACAGAATCAGGCTCAAAATACAAACCTGTAAACAGTAGCGGCACCCTGACAGCTCAGATGATAGAGTAAAGGACCCTGCTAAGGTCAGGTGTACCCGACCCGGTCCTAGGTTGCTGAGGTGTTACAATTGCATGATGATTTTCATTTGCATCAGAGTGACAGTATTAGTGCCGCTCTACCTTTTGGCGAACTGGCGAGCAGCAAATGCCTAGTGCATCATGTTTTTATTCATACCAGCTCTGCAATATCACTTGGTGACATGGCGAGTCCCATAAGTGCAGTACAAGCTGGTGCGGAGGCTACCCCAAGTAGTGTTCTGCAGCCACCAAGAATTCAAAAACAGGCCTGTAGAGCCCATAGTGTCCTTCTGGATGTGCTTGCAGAAACTGATTAGCAGCCTGTGACGGGAGTCACTTTGGGTGGGGGGCCCATCAGGGGTGGACTGACAACTCATGGGGCCCCCGGGCAATATGGGATCATGGGGCCCCTGTGTCCTTGCCCACACTCAAAGCACACCTAAAAAAGCCTATAAAAGGTACCAGTGGCATTTTATGGGGCCCCCTACTGACCCCAGGCCCTCGGGCAGTGTTCGAGTGCTCGAATGGTCAGTCCGCCCCTGGGGCCCATTGAACACAGTCCCCTTTGGAGAGGTGGGGAGACCCCTTTCTCAGCTCCCTATATCCCTCTTATGTGTAAGTCACCCTGTGCCTGTTAGGGGTACAGGGTGGAATGTCCTGATATTGTGTAGACATGTATAGGTGGAGTGTGGGGGTTGTTCATTGTTTACTGCCATGTGGTTGCATCCCATTGTTCTATTGTGTGTCTTGCTTGGGAGCAAACTATTATGGGATGTATGTGTTTGTGTATTGGCTTGGTGGGGGGTGTCTGCTGTGTGTCTCTTGTTACTAAATGTTTTGCCCCGCCCTGTGTATATCTTGTATCTGTGTTTAAATAAAGCAGTCTATCTCCTGGAATCCTTCCAAGTCTGGTGCTGTCTCATCTTGTATGGCCAGCGGTGGTGTACGTGGATCTGTGCTCGGACAGGGAAGCGGGAGTCTAACGGAAATACCCTAGTGCAGTCGGGGTCCGGTTCCATTACACAGTCTACAACAACGGAATTCAGGTTGAAACAGCCAGTTAAACTTTTTAGCAATTTATCGCCGCCAACCCAAATTCAAACCTTGCCAGACCATTTGCATGGAAACCTATTACGCTTTCCGAATTTAACGTTATTTTCTTAAGGGCAGAGGAGATATTTAGAATCTAAAAAGACCCCAGATTTCTCAAAATAGAATACCTGTCAATGCCTATTGCAGTCACAGGGGATATTTACATTCCCTGTAATAGTAATAAAAGTGATCAAAAATAAAAAAAATGAAAGGTACAGTGTAAAAATTATTTAAAAAAATCCAAAATAAGTAAAAAAAAAATCACCCTCGCCCCCCCGCACGCATGCACAACTGCCCCCGTGCCGGCATGTAAACAGCTCTTGCACCATGATTGTGAGGTATCACCACGAACATCCAATCCAGGGCAGTAATTCTAGTACTAGACCTGTGTAAATCTAACATGGTAGCCTGTAAAGACTTTTAAATCATTGCCTATGGATATTAAAAATGTATGCAGTTTATCACCATTGCACGGGGCATACGCAGTTTTAAAGCATGTCATGTTTGGTATCTATTTACTTCAAATACCATCATCTTTTATAGTTTACCAAAGAATTGGCCAATATATTGTGTTTTTGTGCATTAAATGTAAAAAAGTGTATTTTTTTTCAAATAATTTGCATTTGAAAGATCACTGTGCGAGTACTTTGTGACATAAAAAATTACAGCACCCATGATTTTATTCACTAAGGTGTATGCTTTAACCACTTGCACTCCTGAGGATTTACCCCCCTTAATGACCAGGCCTCTTTTTTTTGCTACTCGGCGCTGCACTAATTCAACTGATAATTGCGCGGTCATGCAATGCTGCACTCAAACGAAATTTACATCCTTTTTTTTTTCACACAAATAGAGCTTTCTTTCGGTGGCATTTGATCACCTGTGTGCTTTTTATTTTTCACACTATAAAAAAAAGACCGAAAATTTTGAAGAAAAACAATATTTTTTACTTTCAGCTATAAAAAATATATAGTAAGCTCAAAGTTAGTTATAAATTTAGGCCAAAATGTATTCTGCTACATGTTTTTGGTAAACAAATCCCAATAAGTGTATATTGATTGTTTTGTGTGAAAGTTATAGCGTCTACAAACTATGGTATAGATACTGCAATTTACGCCATTTTTTTGCTATACAGCGCTGCACTAGTTTAACGGACAATTGCGCGGTCATGCAATATGGTACATAAATGGAATGTCCTTTTTTTTCACACAAATAGAGCTTTCTTTTGGTGGTAATTGATCACCTGTGCACTTTTTATTTTTGGCGCTATAAACAAAAAATTTTTTGAAGAAATTAAAAAAAAAAAAAAAAAAATATTTTGGGGCGTGTCCAAGATGGCGACTGGACAAGTCGCTTGATACAGGCGGCAGCGGACTTGGAGCGACAGGAGGAGGCACAGCGGCACGATCGGGATCTCAGCGGAGGTGAGCCAGGTGAATATCGCCCCCCTCCGCGGCGGTGATCCAGTGCAGCCTAGTGCGGCCTGCTGAAGCCGCGGCTCACGTCATTACCGCCCGGGAGCCGGGTGTAAGCAGTTGGAGGCGGGAGGGGGCTCCTGTGGACCAGAGACCCCTTCCTGGAACAACGGGCAATCCCCCTCCCCCCAGCCTATCGGGACCCCCCCTTATTCAGACCAGGGAATACAGCCTGAAATAAACACCTCGAGGTGCCCATACTTCCTTAGGCCTCACGGAGCCACCAGTGGGCCAGGGGGCACAGCAAGCAATAAGGGCCACAAAGCACCCACGTTGCCATAGGCCTTATTGAGCCACCAGAGGGCCTACAAAATCTTTGAAGGTTTACATGTTATGTGCAATTAAACCATGGCAACATCTAATGTTTGTGTAGTATCATGTTCAGCAGACTGTGTTCTTCTATTGTTGTGACTTAGATGACGTTCAGAGCACATTTTATGCCCAATTCATGCAAAACTCCACGTAATCCCAAGGGGTTCACATACTTTTTCTTGCAACTGTACACCTACATTGTTGTACCTACTTTCCTCTACGTATCCAATGGTTTGCATTGTATGCTTGATGTATTGTTCTACCCCGCATTGCTTTGTATTACAGTTTACAATAAGTCCCGTCTGCAAAACGGGAGGCAACATGTCATGTCTATGTTCTGATTGTGCTTTATAGCTGTATATGCTCTGTATGCTATCTTGTCTATTTTGATATTAATAAAATATTTTTGAACAAAAAAAAAAAAATATTTTCTCATTTTGGTCATAAAAAATATCCAAAAAAAAAACATTTTGTCATAAATTTAGGCCAAAATGTATTCTGCTACATGTTTTTGGTTAAAAAAAATCCCAGTAAGTGTATATTTATTGCTTTGTGTGAAAGTTATAGCGTCTACAAACCATGGTATAGATAATGGAATTTACACAGCTTTTACATTCTGACTGCTCATCATCACATTTCTTGAGGTGCTAAAATACCAGGATAGTACAAAACACCCCTCAAATGACCCCTTTTTGGAAAGTAGACACCCTAAGCTATCTGCTGACAGGCATATTGAGTCCATGGAAGATTTTTTTTTTTTTTTCACAAGTTTCTGGAAAATGACAAAAACATTTTTTTTTTACACAAAGTTGTCATTTAAATGATTTATTTCTCGCACAAGCCATGGGTTTATGTAAATTACACCCTTAAAATACATTCTGTACTTCTACCGAGTATGGGAATACCACAAAAACCAGACGTTTTGGGAGCCTAACCACATACAGGAGCCTGAAATCTAATGACCACTTTGAAAAGCCTGAAGGTGCGTAACTTCCTCATTTCACTTCCTCAATACCTATCACAGTTTTCAAAGTCCCTGACATGCCAGGATAGCGCCAAACCCCCCCAAATGACCCCTTTCTGGAAAAGTAGACACCCCAAGGAATTTAAAAAGTGGCATGGTGAGTATTTTGCAGATCTAATTTTTTCTCACAAGCTTTTGAAATATAAAAAAAGAATAGAAAAAAAATATATGTTTTTGTTTTTTTTTCTTCATTTTCCAAAAACTTGTGGCATGATGGTATTTGATCGACTAAGTGTTTTTTTATTTTTTGCACTCTAAAAAAAAAAAGGCTGACAATTTTGAGAAAAAAAAAAATTGCAATATTTTGGACTTTTTGCTAAAAAACATGTCCAGTAAAAAAATTTAAAAATCAAATTTCATCTTTAATTTTAGCGCAAAAATGTATTCTGCGACGTCTTTGCTAAAAAAAATCCCAATATCATGTGTAAATTAATTGGTTTACGTGAAAGTTATAGCATTTACAAATGGCGGGAAAGATACTGGGATTCTTTTTTTTTATACTAATAATGGCGGGGGACCAGCAACTTATGGCGGTGATCAGCGATTTATGACAGTGATCAGCGACTTATGGTGGGACTGCGGCGGACATTTTGACACTGGGGGGAACTGACTTGGGGTCACTGACATCCCCAGTGACACCAATACAGCGATCAGTGCAAAAAAAAAAAAAATAAACACTGACACTGTACTAATGGCACTGGGGAGGAAGGGGTTAACTTTTTTTAGGCAATCAAATGGGTAACTGTGTGAGGGGAGTGTTTTACTAGTGGGTGGGGGGTGTGTACTTCATGGGAACATGCTGATACCGAGATCTAAAATCCGCTCTCAGGAACAGCGTGTTTAGGAGCTGACAGGGAGCAGAGCTGCATGGTAAACAATGCAGCTGTGCTCTGTGGCACTGTTTGCCGGTAATCGCCAGGACCCGGCAAGTAATGACCAGCCGGGACCCGATGATTGACACCCGCGATCGGCGGCATGGGTAGGGCGGTCGCGCTCCTTGGGCGCGCCCCCTACCTGTTTTTCAAAATGATGTTTTAAAATGTGATTTTGCGCAGCGGTGCCGCCCTGTAGCCGTTTTTCTACAGTGGCTGGTCAGCAAGTGGTTAAAAAAATATATAATGTTTGGGGGTCCCACCAAAGTAATTTCCTAACAAACAATACTGATTTTTTTTCATGTGAACAAAAAGAGTGAGTGATGTGTGGCATAAACTTCTAATGCTGGGCATAAGTGCCCCAACCCCCCCAAATGACCCCTTTTTTGAAAGTTGACACCCCAAACTATTTGCTGAGAGGCATGTTGAGTCAATAGAAGAATTAATTTTTTTACAAGTTTTTGAAAATTGCCAAAAAAATTGTTTGGTCTGTTTTTGTTTATAGTGCAAAAAAAACACAGAAGTGATCAAATACCACCAAGAGAAAGCTCTATTTGTGTGTGAAAAAAGGACATAAATTTAACTTATGTACAGTATTGCCATGACCACGCAATTGTCAGTTAAACTAGCGCAGCGTTTGTATAGCAAAAAATTGCTAAATTCCAATATCTATATATCGTCATTTGTAGACACTATAACTTTCACACAAACCAATTAATATACACCTATTGAGATTTTTTTTTTTTACCAAAGACGTATAGCAAAATATATTTTGGCCTAAATTTATGATGAAATTGAGTTTATTGTATATTTTTTTATAACAGAAATGAGAAAATACTGTTTTTCTTAAAACTTTTTGTTTATAGCCCAAGAGAAAAAAAAACTTCAGTGTTATCAAATAGCATCAAAAGAAAGCTCTATTTGTGTGGAAAAAAGGACATAGATTTCATTTATGTATAGTATTGCATGACCGCACAATTGTCAGTTAAATAAGTGCAGCGCTGTATAGCAAAAAAAAACGGCGTAAATTGCAGTATCTATACCATAGTTTGTAGACGCTATAACTTTCATATAAAGCAAATAATATATACAATTATTTGGATTTTTTTTGTACCAAAGACATGAAGCAGAATACATTTTGGCCTAAATTTATGACTAGCTTTGAGTTTACTATATATTTATTATAACCAAAAGTAAAAAATATAGTTATTTCTCAAACATTTTGGTCTTTTTTTGTTTATAGAGCAAACAATTTAATAAAAACACAGAGGTGATCAAACCATCAAAATAAATATCTATTTGTGTGAAAAAAAGGATATACATTTTGTTTGGGTACAGCATTGCATGATCGCACAATTACCAGTTGCAATTGCGCAGTGCTGTAACCAGGGGCGGACTGAGAACTCATGGGGCCCCCGGGCAATAGAGGATCATGGGGCCCCTGTGCCCCTGCCCAAACTCAAAAAAGCCTATGAAAAAGGTACCAGGTGCATCTCATGGGGCCCCCTACTGTACCTGGGCCCTCGGGCAGTGCCCAAGTTTCCAAATGGTCAGTCCACCCCTGGCCGTAACGCTGAAAATGGCCGTAACGCTGAAAATGGTCAGTAAATCCTCTGGAGAGCAAGTGGTTAAAGTGTAAAAAGGCAGACATACACAGATTTTGACAAGTCCTTTAATAAAAAGAAAAGCCAAAAAAAAATGTCCCATAATGTACATCCATGGACAATCACATTGCCCAGTGATGCAGGTCCGTAGCAATGACAATCCCTGAAACCTTATACAGCAACCAGAAGAAATAGATCATATGGTGCAGCGCTATTAAAGTACCACAATAATAAATATAATAAGATACAAAAACAGCTATTCCAAAGTATACATCACACGTACTCTTTAAAATAAACATGCAATAGGGTGAATGGTATATTGTCCTGTACCAACTTCAAAACTGATATAACAATCACTTTAACATGCGTGATAGTCGGTACTATTTTCTTTACATCACATTGACATTCAACAGGCTTGATTGGTGAACCTCAACAGTGGTCAAAGTGAAGAACAACATTCCTTTTATGATAGTTCATATATAAACAATTGTGCTCAACTTGAATGAACAAACATGCATGTGACAATAACGCATGTGAAATCCAGTGATGGTGTCAGCACACTCCTCCTGTGGCTAGATTGCCCCCTCACCTTAATTCTGCGACCCAATGGGCCCTCACGCCTTTAAGATCACTATAGGATCTTTCTCCCAGGGTGGATACCTCAGCAACGCTCCTGTGGACCCCTCAGTGATGGGTAGGTAGTCAGGACACTCTGAATGTCAATGTGATTTAAAGAAATTAGTACCGACTATCACGCATGTTAAAGTGATTATGTTATATCAGTTTTGAAGTTGGTACAGGACAATATACCATTCACCCTATTGCATGTTTATTTTAAAGAGTACGTGTGATGTATGCTTTTGAATAGCTATTTTTGTATCTTATTATATTTATTATTGTGGTACTTTAATAGCGCTGCATATGATCTATTTCTTCTGGTTGCTGTATAAGGTTTCAGTATTGGGTGTCAGCAGCTTACCTATATAGGAACTCCATAAAGCGCAAGAGGAATTTCTAAATAATTGACCATATTTGATCATTGTGAGTGAAGTATCTGCATCACTGGATGACATGATTGACTGTGGATTATATCGTGGGGATTTTTAAATGAAAGGATTGTTCAAAAACTGTGAGTGTTTACTTAGATGCTACTTTTTTTGTGAATTAGTAAGGGTACTTATTCACATGGGTGGAGGTATCTGGGTGACACCTTATTGTTAAAGGGGCTTTCATGTGCCAAACACCCCTGAAGGTGAGAACAGGGAGCTCTAGGCTCAAAGAAGCCTGGGGGTCATTTAGGAAGCTGCTTGCAGCATAGTCAACTGGATAGCTGTCAACTGGTTTGTCAGGAAAGATGGCAGGGCCTCTGTTGCCCTTGCAGATGTAGCGGGACCAGGGCAGTAACCACAGGCGAGGTGACACCCAAGGAAGAAGCAGGATCAGATTGGCAGGACCAGACTGAAAAAGCGAAGTCAGGAAGGTAACTGACATCAAAGGAAGGAAAATAAGGGAGTAGGCAGGAGCGTGGTCAAGAACAGACCCAAGGTCAGGTACGGAAATCCAGAGGAGCAAGCAAAAGAGTAGTCAAGAGCAAGCCAGAATCATGCATGGTAAAACAAGAGAAGCAGAGTCCTTAGAGCAAGTTAAAACCAGGGATAAGGCAGCAGGAAAGTCCAGAGGCAAGTTGGGTCAGTAACAGGTAGTCCAAGGAATACAGGAAACACAGGAGTAAGGAGTACTGGTAGCTGAAAATCATCCAGCAAAGTCTGAGTGCCGCCATTGTCTTTATATAAGGTGTTTGGCACCAGTTCTGGGTGCAGATGTGCGTGAACGTGCACCAGTGCACACACGTGCGCATTGGCACAGTATGTGTGTGCATTTCTATGCAGACGAGCATGGCCATGGCCAAGTATTGGCAATTATGCTAAGTCTTTTCCTCAGCGCAAGCACATTTTTTATTCTGCTGTCCTTTTCAGCACATACTTATGTTTGTTCCAAATAGCACCCTGACATGACATGATGAAAGTCTACATAGTAGTAATATGCTATACAGCCATTGCTATTTTAAAATGTATATTTTTTTTAGTCCTGAAAATAAAAAACAAGAAAATATGCACAAAGCCACTGTGCACTCTTTTAAAAAAATAATACATTTTTATATATATTTTTTTTGTGAATTCAGTAATATAAATTGTAATCTTTATAGCTGTATTCCAGGAATTCAGCCACTGTCTAAAACATGCTGGCTTAGTATTGTTACGTCTAATGAGGTGTATGCTACCTCATGGACTTATCTCTTTTATTTACAACTGACTGTTACTGAGCATTGGGAGTACAGCTATCGCTATACTTCCAGTGTTCTAATAGGAGAGCTGCTGCACTCTCCCCTCCCCTCTTCTGCCATTCATAGGAGGCTTTGTTTTTTGTGAAAGGCTTCACATAATACAAATCACTCTGTGATTGGGAAAGTGGATGGGAGAGGTGGAAGCAGTGGCTGCATAAAACACTGCATTTGCAGGAGCTGAGACCAGTAGGTCCAGTGTCAGAGTGAAGTGCATTAGTGAAGTGTCAGAGTGCATAGCATTAGCTGCAATCAGTTAAAGAGGAACATTACCCAAAAGGGGAAGTTCTGCTCGTTTTCCTCCCCCCACTGCCACATTTTGCACTTTTTTGGGGGGGGAAGGAGGAGCGGGTATCTGGTTTTGAAAAGTACCCGCTCCCACTTTTGGTCAGATGTGTCGTGGCAAATCTTCAGTGGAATTCTGGACCCCTCCTTCCCCCACAGCGTTCTGGAACACGTCACATGACCCTGAAGACTGTAGGACCATTCACAAAGTGCAGCATGCTTCACGCATGTACAGTAGGAAACCAGCTGTGGAGCTGCAAGGCTTCACTTCCGGTTTCCCTTACTGAAGATGTCGGCACCTGCATCCAAAGCTGATTGAAGAATCGGCTCGTGTGAGGACATCGCTGGATCCCTGGACAGATGAGTGTACTTATATTAACCTCTTCCCATCTGCCCTATAGCAGAAGTATTGTTACAGGGTGGCACGGGTGTGCAAAATCACGAATATATACGTGATTTTGCAGTTCTGGCCTCGGCTGTCAATCACTCGGTCCCGAGACCCGGTGATTACCGAGCATCTCCGATGGGAGGGAGAACTATTTGTAAACAATACAGTTCTCTTCCCTGCCAGCTCCTGCACACTACTTTGCATGGCTCTGCATAGCACAGCCATACAAAGCAGTGTGCTTACTGTGAAAATAGCACATAGCACACAGTTAACCCTTTGATCACCCCGCATGTTAACCCTTACCTGCCAAGTGCCATTAGTACAGTGTCAGTGCTTTTTATTAGCACTGATCACTGTATTGGTGTCACTGGGGATGTCAGTGACACAAAGTCAGTTCCCCCCAGTGTCAGAATGCCCACCGCAGTCCAGCTATAAGTCACTGATCGCCGCCATTACTAGTAAAAAAAAAAAATATCCCAGTATATATACCGCTATT